AGAGAGAGAGAGAGAGAGAGAAAGAGAGAGAGAGAGAGAGAGAGAGAGAGAGAGAGAGAGAGAGAGAGTATCGGGGAGAATAGAGAAGGAATTCCTTATTTTTGTTCGAGGATAAGCTTGTTGATCGGTGTGGTTTGAACTGTTTGAGATTCTATGGTGAAAATGTAAATACGAAGAGTGGCGCGAGACAAAGGGACTCTCACCACGCCTTCGGCGCGAGAAACGGTACCCCCCTCGAAGGTCTCTTCCCTTTCGCGGGGGTGATTCGTCGCGCGCCGCCCCGCCGCCGCCGCCTCGTCGTTCCAGCAACCGGCACTCCGAAGCGCGGTCGAGAATCGACTCCTGTGATAAAATCGAAAAATGAAAAAAACTGAAAAACATGAAGCGCCTTCGCACCCTGGCAACGTCGAGCCTAATCGCGGGCAAAAAAAATAAAAACTAACAGAGACATATTCTACAAATCTAGTGAAATATTCAAATAAATATTACGAATAATTATTTGTAATTATATTATTTTTATTATTATTATTATATTATATTATATTATATTATATTATATTATATTATATTATATTATATATTATTATTGTAAAGTGAAATTAATATAAAAAAAATTGTGCGTTGCGTTCGAGGATATGGTTGCGTGTACGCGAGAGAAACGGGATCGCGCGATCCTGTTCTCGTCAACGCGACATCTTCTCGTCCATGAAGTATCATCTGCCTTCGCGAAATGTCAAAAGTGAGAGGGAAAAACAGTAGGATAGAGAAAGTATGAAAGAAATGGAGAGGGGCCGGGGGGAGGAGTAAGCGGAATCGTTACAATCGCACGAAATGCTTGCCGTATCGGGAAAACGGTCCGGCCCGGTTCGACTCTTCGACGACCGCGGCCGAACAGCGAGACGAAAGGACTCGGCGACAGGGAACAGGGTTTTTAAACGCGAAAGCATTACGGACCACTTGAACGATTTTCCTCAACTCGACTGCTCACCGGCGAACAGCGTCGGTGATCTTTTTCTTATTTTTCCTTCTTTACTGCTTAGGCACCGGTCGTTCGTTCTCCGGAAGGGAAGAAAGGTCTCGCTGTCAACCTCTTAGGCACGGCTGAATTTTTTGTACGGACAATGTTCTCCACGCGAGTACATTGGAACGAAGTTTTCGATGATTGAATTCTAATTTTTCTGAAAGATGTGATACACATAATTTAACACATTGCGTACCAGTAATTTTCAGAAAGCTGAATCGTGCGAATGGAAATTTTCAGTGAAATCCACTTGTATCACTATACAAACTCAGATATCATATTGTTATGTAATATATTTTAAATAATCAATTCGATTTGAATTTAATATTTGTTCAGGCGCTGTGGTAATTAGCAAAGTTGCGTAGCTAAGAGTCTATATTAACGAGATTTCTTACCGGTACGCAATGTGTTAACGATTTACTTTAATAGTTAGTAATACAATTGGGTACGATCTATGATATATTGGTAGCGACGAAGCCACTACAGTGGCGCGTCGTGCCTAAGAGGTTAACGCTCTCAACGCGGAACTTCGAACCGTTGGAACAAGAGCCGTCTCGAAGATTCCGCGTCGAGAGTGAAACGAGAGGGGCTTGTCGAATAAAGTACACTTATGTTTCTTGCTAGTATTCTTAATAATGTATTTATGTTATTCGCTATTATAAAAAGTAACAAGCAGCGACGATTCACGCGCGAATCAACGGCGACTGTCGCGCGTCGAGAGAGATCGGTCGATCGCGTCGGTTCATCTGTTTCTTCTCTTGCGCGAGGCCATTGCAAACGATCGAACTCGTCGACTCAAGTAATACGATATGTTAGTTTTCTTTAATTTTCGTGGCGATTCAAGTAAGGAATGGTCGGGGCACGAAAAATACGTGTGATGCTGCGCGGCAAACGCGGTAGCGATGTGCGTGCGCCCACGGATGTGTATATGTGCGTGTCTGCGCGTATGTGTGCAAGTCTACACGCGTGTATGTAACGACGGACGATCACGGACGGTGCGTTACGAAAGAATAATTTCCCTTCTCTATCCGTTCGGTCGTTTTCGTTGATTCGCGTTCTCGACGGATCCGCGACGGAACCACTGCCGACTCGACGTTTGACACACGCGTCGGTGAACGTTCGCAGAGAACATGTAAACCACGAGGACACACCGAACGAACCTATATCGCCCGATGCGTATTGTGATAAACCGCGTAGACACCGAGACCTCGAAGCTGTTCGCGTTCCCCCATAGATCGAATCATATACGTAGGATCCTGTACGCGCGAATCGGTCGGGGAACGAGATGCATGTGAAACGCGCCGCGTATCACAGGTACGTGCCATAGAGCGGCGCGACTGAATCAGTAATATTAGAGTATTCCGGAGCACGGCCGTCTCGACTTTCCGTTCGCATCCGAGACGCTCCGCGAGCGTACAGACACCGAGGAGTCTCGCCGCTACATCCTTACAGTGTGCTAGCATCCAACACGAGAATTTTATTTAACAACCGACCCAATGGAATAAACTGAAATATTCGAAACATCATGTTTATTGCACGTTCGTCACTGATCGGAGGCCCGGTCGAAAACGTACACGTATCGTCTAAAAATATATATATTCACGACGGTTATTTACAATCATCTCGACACGTCACGATGCACAGCACTGAATTTTACAGCTAAGCTGCCGCTGCGAAAGGCGCCATCATCGAATCGGTGTAGGGTCGCTGTGTCGCTTCCTCTTGCGCTTCGAGGGCGTCTCCGCGGAGTCGACGACGCGGAGGAGCCGCGTTCGCTCGATTCCATTGTCGTCCGAGGCACTGGTCTTCGACGCGGCGGTCGCACTGCGGGTCATCACCTTCGAAAACGACAGGTCGCCGGCGACGAGTTTCGTCGACAGAAGGGAACGTCTGCTGTACACGTGACCTCGGTCACGGCAACTCCGGAACATCTTCGCTGACTCGGACCGCTTCCACGTGTAGTAGAACTCCACGATCTCCTTCTGCAACGCGATTCGAAAGTGTTCGAGCTTGTTCGAAATTGAGAGACAAAAGAACGGGCCAATCGGGAGAGGGCTTACCGTGTCTTTACAAGTTAGAACGTCCTTTTGTATCTTCGAGAAGTTCTTCCCGTGCCTGGCGAGTCCTTGGGAGAACAGCTCCTGGAAATAGACGAAATAAATGAAATCATTCGATTCGATCACTTGAGATATATTCGAGAAGCAGAAATCGGAATCGGAAATCGGAATGTCCGTTGACACGCGATACCAGCAAGAAGAAATTGCAATTACTTGAAATTCCTTGCTTGGATTAAATTTTTGTTTGATTTACAAAATAAGGATAAGGATTTAGGAAGAACAGCTGGAAATAGACGAAATAAATGAAATCATTCGATTCGATCACTTGAGATATACTTCAGAAGCAGAAATCGGAATCGGAAATCGGAATGTCCGTTGGCATGCGATACCAGCAAGAAATTGCAATTACTTGAAATTCCTTGCTGGGATTAAATTTGTTTGATTAACAAAATAAAGATAGGGATTTACTCGGATCCGTTTCTTGGATCGCGAAACAAAGAAGTGTAGACAAACTTCGACTTACAATTTCAGCTTGCGTCCATTTCGCGATCAGCCTGTTCGGTAGCTGTTTTGATACGAGCGTCTTCAATGCGATCTCTGCTGAATACTCGGAGTCGTGCAGAACATCGGTGACGTACTGCTCGGCGTAACCGATGCAGGAGTTCTCCATCGCTTCTTTGTTGGGGATTCCCGTCTTCTCTTGGACGAACGTCAAGACGGCGCGAGCCATGAACATGTAGAAAGGAATCCACGCGTTCACGTCCTCGTTCGGGGTCCACAGCTTCTCCTCCGTGAAGTCTCGGTACTCGACTTCCGGATCGATCTCCGGTTGGTACTCGGGAATCTCGGCGCTTCCTGCTAGGTATTTCTGGAAAATCAACAAACTTTTATTATGTTTTTCGAACCAGATGCAACCAAGTGTTTCTCCCGATTTTTCATTCGTTAATTTTCCACTCGTTATCTCCGATTTTTCGCGTAGTCTCCGTAAAAAAAATATAGGAAACGTTGCGCAACTAATATCTTTTACCGTGTACTCGAGCGAGGAATAAACAATATTTAAGTATTTCCGGAAAATCAACTCTCTTTCGCTATGTTTGTCGAACTAGTTGCAACTAAGTGTTTCTCCCGATAATTTTCCACTCGTTATCTCCGATTCTTCGCGTAGTCTCCGAGAAATAGAGAAAACGCTGCGCGGACTTCCAAGATGCAACCGATATCTTTAATGTAGTCGAGCGAGGAATAAACAATATTTCAGTATTTCTGGAAAAAAAACTTTCACTACGTTTGTCGAACCAGGTGCAACCAAGTTCCGATAATTTGCCACTCGTTATCTACTCTTCGCGTGGTCTCCGAAAAATAGAGAAAACGCTGCGCGGACTTCCAAGATGCAACCGATATCTTTAATGTAGTCGAGCGAGGAATAAGCAATATTATTCGAGTATTAAACGGAATGCCAACCTGGTCCACGTCTTCGCCTTCGATGCTCATGATGATACTCTCCGGTGTTAAACTCAACTCCGTCGTGAACACTCCTGTAGCCTCGAGGTGCGTGCAGGTGAAAAACCTTACTACTAATCAGAATCACCTTCGCTCCTACTATATATACACGCATATGACCTGCGACAACTACCCTGCCGAGAGAGGATAATTACGGTCCATTCCCCACCCCGACTTTTCCTCATAAAGAACCTTCGCCCCTGTGATTTTTGGAAACTCCTACGAGATAGTCTTTCTGTACTTCACCGATAAACTTGTACTCTCTGCCATCAATCCGAATTCAACCCTTAGCACTCGAAAGGTGACCTTCAGTCACCACTTGATTTAACCCCTTGGCGTACTATTTACTTACTAAGCTCGTGTAATATTTTACTATCGACAATTTGTAAGAAATACAACAAAATTCTCCATTCTACTTGAGGTGGAAATTTCATTTGATAATACATTGATAATAGCAAAATAGTTTGCTTTGATCCGTGGGTAACGAACAACATTGATTTTCGTTAAATTAGTTCAGAAAATTCCAACAAAATTCGAGATTTCGAGAGTCTCTGGTCCTCGCGCCTGTACAGATACACATTCTACAATCTCTCGCATCTTCAATTTCAATATCTGCAAATGACATTCTGGGGAGGGTGATCACCTGCCTGGTTCCAGCGTCAACCGATTTCCCAGGTGCAATACCGATTCGTACACACGATCCCCGTTCTTCGATCGGGGAGTTTCATCGAACATTGTTCGCAGAAAAGTGGACGATGGGTTGAAAGCGACGAGATTTCCCCATGAAAAGCTCGTCTTACCCTCTCAGCGAGAACAACGTCGGAAGAATGTACAGAATGCGATAGGTCGCGTGTACTTCTCGAGATAAACGAACAGACGGACGTTTCCGGTGACGAGAGGAGACGAGAGGAGACGAGAGGAGGCGGGTCGCACTTTCGTCGCGCGATTTAGCCGAGCGAAATCCTAAAACGCGTCCGCGAACGCGCGAATTCACGTGACTCGGCGAGTTAGCCACGCGACTTTCAGAAGAAAACTGATCGCAACAACGGAGCTCTGACGAGAGGCACCGTGTCAATTCCTCAGATAAGATAAGCTGGGAGGATACACGTACGTACGTCCGAGGGATTTTCTTTCTGAAATTTCCTTACGGTGCGCAATATCGACTGTCGTGTGAATTATTCCATCGACGTTAGATAGTCGTTTCCGCGTTAACCCGTTGCCCTATAATAACGAGTGAGGCTCGCGAAGATTATCAACGATACAAATACAATATCTTCATGATGATATTACATGTTTCCTATTTTATAATCTTGATATGAGAACGATCGCCATCTTCCTGTTCAAATCATTTGACTATCACAATCCAGGCTTGACTTTGATCATAAATGGCTGAATATTGTCACTAGCTGCCTAACAAAATTTGATCAAACCTCGACGAGGGTTCGATTCTTGCTTCTTCTGTTTCTTCAGACTTTCCAGTTCGAACAGTTCTAACTGTTTTATATGAATAATTAAATAGGTTTCATCAGCTTCAATTCAAGAGCCTGCGATCACACGAGGATCTCAGTAATAGCAAGCATTGCGAGCTTAAAAGTCTTCTCTTTCACGTGGCTTTCCACTAAACTTTAACACGTAGACTGCCGAATAGATTACCAATACCTCCACGCAATGAAAACAATTTTCATCATCAAACAAACTAAAAATTCAAAACTCTTCGTAACCATTGCTCTAGTGTTCTCTGTATTTAATAGATCGAACAAAATTCAGTTCGTTCGATACGTCGCCAAGAATATTCATCTCTAAGTCGATGGAAAAATGTCAACCGAATTTGGATAACATGGCTGTTAACCCCTTGCCCCATAATAACGAGTGAGACTCGTCAAGATTTTCAACATGATTCAACAAATATATATATATATATATTATTCAGTTCATTCGAATTCGAAGTAAATATTATTCCTCTATAAACAACTATTATACTTGAAAGGAAATATGCATAACATATGCTTAGGCTTTTTCTCTTTTTCCAATAAATTATTAACGACAAAGTTCAAAGTTATCGAACAGAGTTGAGAAAGAAATCATAGGCCAAGGGGTTAACGCCGGAGGTCCACCAAGATGGCGCCTAAGAAATAATAAAACGGCCTTAAAGTGTCGATGATCGAACAATGCTGGCTTTTAATTAACTAGAGAATTACATAAATATGCATTGAAACGAGGACAAGAATTCTAAGAATAAGATGGTTCGGTTGTACCGTCTACGGGCTTAAAGACTAGAAAGTAAAAGAAAGCCAAAAAAGTTTCACTTTTCCGACGTGTCTCGTTTCGTTCGGTATCCTTCTGCGAACAAACCGTTCTACCCTCCGTCTACCTTCACGCTCGATGCATTCTGTGCGTCGCGTCGAGTGTACATTTTCGACTTTAATCCATTACGTTGGGAAACAAAAAGGAAAACGAGCGTCTGCAACAAAATCCGACGATCCTGGTGGAAACAAAATGTATGGGACAGCTTTCCACGAGAATTTCCGGTAGCTTAACGTGCCATAAATGTAGGTCAGTTGTTGTTGGTCGAGCGGAGGGTCGCCGTATGGGGATTATAAAAGCACCACGTCTCTTAATCTCCCGGCTAATCCTACCCAGCTCTGACCAGTTGCCTTTCATTAACCCTTAGCAGTCCCATGTCGTTTTATTGCGACCTCTACCTGTTTTGACAATTTTTTCTACATTTATCTGTAGTATCACAGTTGTACCATTTCACGCTAGAACTACCAGGCACTCGAACTGACTTTTTCAAATTTCTTTCTAAAACTTATAACTGTGTATTTATTAACCCTTCGCACTCGAGGGGCGCCTTACAATCGCCACCTGATTCAACGCAGCAAACTTTCAAATTTTCAATTCGATATTAAACCTTGTGTAACGTATCAACGCAAAACAACAAGATAATCAATTGTGTTAGTCGCGAAAAGTATCGTTAATATTTAGTCGGAAAGTAACGAATATTTTTCATGAGAAATATTGTCGAGTGCAAAGGGTTAAGATTTCAATTGGTTTATATTTCAGTGTGGGGACTATTAAATCAGCTCCTTTAACGATTTCTCAGAGAAACATCTGTACCTTCTCGGTAATTGTATAAAAAGTCATCAGGAATGGGTCACTTTGACCCATCTGGTAGTTCTAGTGTTAAAGATAACATTTCAATGACTCCCAAATATTCTGGAATAAATAAATAGAGCGTCATATCAAGCTGTAATTGAATAAACTAACATGAATCTCAAAGTGAGAAACCAAGGGCACTTCGGACCGCAAAGGGTTAAAAATATCTGTGGCCATTACATAGGTAAAATACTGACAGAACGTCGAGAGTGCATGCACATCGTGACGAAGAACCAACTGGAAGAATTGAGAAATCGGCACGAATCGACTTTCATGCTAAATTAAATACACCCGGGGTCGATCGAATGGTCGCATGATCAACGCACTGTTACGTTCTACGTTTACATAAATAAAGATACTCTGGCAGAAATGACATATTTTTGCAACGCACGACGGAACGTACCGATCGATCGTAAAACGTTGAATGCCCCTGTTTCCTTCGTTTCTGCATTCGTGTACGATAAATATGCCCCTAATGACTCTTCTTCGGACACCTTTTCGATCAAAAATGGAATCATCACGATTATTACACAGCCATCGAGTAATAAATAGAGCTCGTAATCAATCTGAATACGCAAAGTGAGAACTCTTGAAATGGAACGTGTCTGAGGCAACGATAGAAAAGAATGAACTGCCGCGAAGATGGCCGGACGTATAAATCGAGAAGGTGTGTCGATTCGCAAAGGTACATTAATATTCTGTCGTGAGACAAAGCGATACCGAACGAAACGAACGCGATTCACCAGAAATCCATTCGACTGGATTCGCAAAGGATGAAAGATCGAGCGAATGTTGATCGTTACTTGACAAATGCAAAACGTATGTCAATATTACATGATACTCATGTATACCGATATACTCGTATGAATGTACGATGCGTGTACGTGTAAGTGTATGTGCTTGTTTACGTATGCATGTGTTTGTATGTATGTATGTGTACGTATAATACAGATTAAGAGAGTACCGAATGTCGAGATTTCTTCTCAAGTTTATGATTCAAGATATATTCCGGAGTTATTTGGTCTGTACAATTTGCACGAGCAGAAATACCATCGCGTACAATTGTTAACAGCTACAGGGCGATAGAAAGAAAGAAAATAACTATTGTTACCCTGCTGCTCGAGACTGTGAAGGCTGTGCTTGTTTACTTAGAGTTACTCGCGAAACGGTATAATACAGAACGCGCGGTAAGACGTCTTCGGAATGCGACTGGCAGTAACACCGGCTCCGTCCGTCTCGGAATCAGTCCGCATCGTTGCAGCGGTCGCTACACGCTCGCGTCCGATCCCGACGCGTGATCCCGCGATGGTAACCCTGTCCGCGAACGAGCCGTTCGCCGTTCGGCTAGGAGACGAAAGAATTTGTACATCTGTACAATACTCGGCCCGTTCAGTCTCGCCTGCGCCACGTGAACTTCGCCCTCTGAGTGGACGCCTCGACGGTGGCCGGGGCCGGGTGCGAGTACGGGCAAGCCGGCTTGGTGCAGAACGGATGATACTTGCACTGCTGAGCGGGATGGGAGAACACGCATCCCAGTTTCGTGCAGGCCAGCCCGAATTTACATTTAGGATGTCTGTAAGCGCACTTGTCTCCAAATTTACAAGCGGGGAAGACGCTGCGGAAAACGATAGAAACTTGTAGAGCACAATGGACAATGAAGGCTTGGCTGAAGAACCAAGTAAAATACAATGACTGTAAACGAGGATTATTAAATGCGAACCTGCACATTACAACGGGATGAAGGTACGCGCATTTGTTGCCCAACGTACAGTTCGGCCAGTATCTGCACTTCTCCTTCGATTTGTCTATTACCGTCACTGCGTTCTCTGTTAGCGATTTTTTCTCTGAATCTGAAACAGCGAACGCTCGGTACATAAACGTGTAGATAATCTTTAGATTAGGAAATTAGAGAAACTAATTGTGTTGCGCGATAATTGTATATGTCGCGTTAGAGACACTTACGTTTGTTTAACAATGGATTTGTCAACGTGCTGGACTTCAAATCTGCAGGACTGGGCGAATGAGATCTATTATACACTATGGGACTTAATTTTCTCCTTTTCCTCGGTACCTCTTCAGTCTTCTCGACATTCTCGGTGTTACAATTTTCATTATTCTCTTCCGCTCTTTCTTTTCCATTCGCATCCATCTCACCATCCACTTCGGTTACTTGAAAAACAGACGTTTCTGACTCATTCTGGGTATATACATCATTTTGTGTTGTTAAAAGCACAAGTTCATCGTCTTCATTTACCTTCGAACACGATTCACGAAAATAGTGTTAAGACGGCTAAAGAAAGTTCGAGTGATATAATTAACTAACTGCGGCTACGACTAACTACCTCCATTTCCAAGCGTTCGTCGTCGTCGGACGTGGCTTTCTCCTTGATAAGGTTGTTATTGTATCCGTTCAAAGTGACTAAAAATTTCTGGTTGTCGTCGCTTCGTTGAAACAATGACATTACCACACCCATATGCTCCTCGGTGACAGACTGTTGTACATCTACAGATGACGCAATATGAAATGGATCAGAGGAGCACTCAGCATTATACTCATTAATTCCAGCGTGGAAATAAAAGTACTCACAAGGTTTTGATTTTGTTTCAGAAACATCTGTGTTTAATTCTACTTGGATCTTTTCCATGACCAATCTCTTATTAGAATTCAGATGAACCGACAAATTTTGCCCCACATCTCGTACAGCTGCAAGCCTGAGACGTTTCAACGTTTGCTTTTTGTCCTGCGAATGCAATTCAATAAAACAATTACACGGGAAATGTGTTCTCCTTGTAAATATACAGCAGATTATATGAGCAATAAGAAGAAAAACAACTATTTTTATCATCATCGTCTACTTTATTTTATACACACCAATAAAGACGGTTCTGGATTCTTTTGAGTAACAACAGACTGGTTGGCCTCTGCGACGGCTCGCAACAGCAGAGACTGCGTGGCGCGTTTCTGTGTCGGTTGCAGTGGTTTCAACGGCCTCGGTGTCACGATTACTTTGCTGGGTATTTTAGTGTCTTCCACGTCTTCCGCGTCGCTACACTCCTTGCTGGTTTTCTCTAACGACTTCAATCGTTTCGTTTCAAGTTTCTCTGGCAGAACTTTATTCACGGCTATTATGTGAGATTTGATGGGACCAGAATTTCCGGCAGACTGCTCGTCATCGTCCAATTCCTCTTCCGCGCCCAGATTCAGATAATCCTCGTCCTCGCTACTCTGAGAACGCCTATTTGTCGAATTGAAACCACTTTTAATACTCACTGGTCGAAAATTATTTTTTAATGGTCCCAATCTAGTTTTGATATTTTTATTGTTACTTAACGTGTCGCGATCCTGCTCCAACGGTTTACTCTTGAATTCCACTAGCTCTCTGTTCCCTAACTGTTTCTGCGCCCTATCGATACGTGCGATTCCTAAACGATCTTTAATCGTGCCCACTGTTTTCCCAATTGATTTCGGCTTTACAGTTGAATTCACCTTGTCCCTTAACTCTATGTTCTTCTGTGGCTTTTCAACTTTAGAGTTGCCCAATCGTGTCTTTATGTCACTGCTAATCTTATCCAAGTCATTGTATTTCGATTCAGTTTCGCGATTCCTCTTTGTACGTTCGTCTGCCTCGAAAATCCTTCCCCTTTGAAAGTTATTATTATTACGAACACCCTCGAATCTATGCTTCTCTACGCGCTTCTCGTTCTGTCGATATCGACTTTCATTGTCTGCCTTCTCTCTGTGAACTTCAAATTTCTTCCTAGGTGACACCACGCCAAGCCGACTCTTCACGGAGACAACGGAAGTAATTTTTGGTTTGTTGACGCAAGATTTTAACTTTCTCGCGTTATCTTCCGTTGTACTTTCCTCGCCATCCTCGATCTTTGATCGTTTCGCTTCAGTTTGTTTCTTTTCCAAGTTGCTGTCACGATAATTATTTATTGTATCCAAAGGCCTTTTCAGAGTTCTAGATGACGCATCGTCTACTTTTGATTCAATACGAGAATCTGTCGACCTACCACTGGAAGTCTCTACGACAATTGCTTCTTTATTTACATTTCCTGTTTGACTGTCATTAGATTGTATTTTCCTTGACACGGACTGCTGAGCAACATTATGATTCGATCCAATATCTGACTTAATCTCATGGCTTGTACTTTTCACAGACTTCTCTACACTTTTGGCTCGACTTGTATCCAATTTTTGACTAGACACAGATGTTTTTCCGCTTTGTTTATGGAATGACTTGTCATCCTTTGTACTTTTGCTGGAAGACTTCTCTAGAGCTTGATTAACACCCTGATCTTCCAAAAAGGAGGTGGTCGATGTCTTTTTCTTTTTTCTTTCTTCCTCTTGTTTAACTACAACTGTAGGAACAAACTCTCTCGACGACTTTCTTTTG